CCTTAACTCTAGGGAAAATTTCAGTGTATGAATATCTAGTAAGTAATGAGTTATGTATGTGCATAAATCAATTCAGAAAAGACTATTTAATCATTTTACCTACAGTGACAAATTTATAATATTATTAGTGATTATTATCAAGCATATGATAACACATGAACAGAAATGTTCCTCTTTAAGGGAATTTAGAAGCCTTCAATATCCAATCCTCCCTGTGTCTACTAGAGGTTACTATCTCTACTTGTTATTTTTATCAATATAATATTTCATCAATGTACTATTATTTAAAATCATCAGGAATGGCTTTTCAGGAAGGGCTAGTTAATGTAGTGCTTAAAAACATAGATTCCAAAGCCAGACTGTCTCCTTTCAAATCCCAGCCCAGTCATTGACCTTAGACAATTTTCCTAGCCTCTTTGTGTCAGTTTTCTCATCCATAACATATTGTTGCTGTTGTTGTTGCTGTTAGCTGCTGTTGAGGTCCCCAGCTCAGGGGACCTCAAGCACAACAGAACAAAATGCTACCCAGTCCAGTGCCATCACTACAATCTGTTGTGGATTGAAAACACAGGGTTTTCACTGGCTGATTTTTGTTGGGGTTTTTTTGGTTTTCCAGTTTGTAAAACTTTACAAGGAAGCCTTCCAGATTGACTACAATCACACTTCTCCCTACCTGCTGTGCCCTGACACAGGTTAACAAGGCACACTTTTCCAGGTGTTGGTGCATTAAGTTTATATGCCTTTATGGTCATCATTGAATGAGGTCTGCTCTGTGGATATCCTTCTCTGCCCTAGGAAACTCCCCTACCTGATTACTGTGGAGCATAGATTTGTTGTTTCAGGTCAATTCTATTGCCATCCAAACCCCTATTTCAACTCAAAAACATAATCCAGCTGAGTTCCTTCACTGTGCGGCTGGGAGTCACTTAGAACTCATGAAATAAAAAAGTTCTCTATAGAACTCTGCCCGAGCACACTTGCTCCTCCAAAGAAATGGTTTTCTAGCAATGTGGATTGCAAGCAATTTGTTGTACATAACAATTTGTTCTTAGAAACACTATCACTCAAACTATCTGCATCAAAAGAAGATTGTTTCTTTATGGACAGACATCCTCTTAGTAGCCACAGAGACCCCAAAGTACATACTCTCCAACAAACACACACTCATAGTACATTTAACATTGGACACACCATAACCTATACTTAGATCTTCTCATTTTATCATCATATATTTTATATACACGTAATCAACTCCTCTTCTCACTCTCTCCTTCTGAAGCATAAACAAATTCATACAAACACACTTGTACACAGAGGATATTTATCACAAAGAAGGTATAAGAAAAATATTTCATAGCTGGGTCAGGCACCACTACATGCCATGCAAAATCCCAAAAACTTTTCTCACAGAATTTCTCGTTTACTAAATCCTATACCTGCTCTCTTTTCCAATAATGTTTTCCATTGTGATTACATAGAAAGCTATTAATACTATACAAATACAGCAAGGTCAAGGACTTCCTGTAGCAGTACTAAGAAGAAGTTCCATGATAATAAAGACCTCACACTTATTGGATTTCCATATTTGTTCAGAGTAGGTAGTCAATCAGTGTTTGCAATTATTATAATAGTAGAAATATTACCTTCTATTTACATCAAATTTTATAGACTGTAGTGACCATTATAATATGAGTTAGAAAATCATATAATATTGCTTGATGCATCTGGGAAAGGCCTGAAATGTAGATTTGTATCAATTAAAAACATGCTCACTCTCTCAACACCCACTCTCCTCTCACACCATCTTGTGGCCAAAGTCTTACTAGGATTACAGCATAAGATAGTGAAGAAAACAGGCAATATTGGATTGCTGAATTTTAAGAATCACTTTATTAGCTTAAGCTGACATCAAAAGGCAATATCAAAACAAAATAATATGACAAAAGTTTACCTTGGATTAAAACCTCTTCTTTACTACAGTATTTTCACAAATTGCTCTCAGGTCAGACTCCTCACTTCAATACTGTTCCATCATCAACAAACTCCACAACCCATGGCAAGCATGTTTAATAGAAAAGGGAAAATAAGGATTGGCAAATCTAACTGCTACCATTAATTTACTCTTGTTATATTGTTTAGATAATTCCTTTATTCATGTAGAATATTTGGGCAAAGTATGGTTATTCTGAGTAGAATCTATAATGCCAAGTAGCAGAGGTGCATTGATTCATATGTGGAGCCGATGGTATTTGAACCCTTTCATGTCCCAATTTTTTCTGCTTTGAATTTTTGTTGATATTGTGTGTTTTCATAGGAGCTCTGGTAGCACTTGACTGCTACCCAGAAGGCTGGTGGATAAAACCCATCAGCCACTCTTCAAAAGGAACCTTGGGCACTCTACTTCCCTAGTGATACTGCCTCAGAAACCTAGGGAGGTGTCGATATGTGTTGGATCTGACTCAACGGCACATAACTACAACAACAACAAGAAGTGTTTTCATTAATGGAAGGCATGATGAATCAAAGAGCAATTCTGAAATTTTGTTATAAAATACAGATTTTGATGCATATCGTTTGGGACACATAGGTATATGTCTCTCTGGAGTTGGGGGACAGATAGGGTTCATGGGACACATGTGTCCCTCTGGATTTTGCATCATCTTCTAGATCCCTTGACAGGTGCACACAATTTAGTGGGCCTGAAAATGGGGTATTCGTGAAAATATGGAATCATCACGGTAAAGGCAACTTCCAACTAATGCACCAAACACACTGCCATTGAATTGATTCCAACTGATAGCGACAGACTCATAGTACAGAGTACAACTTCTCCACAGGGTTTCCAAGGCTGTAAATCTTTACAGAAGAAACTGCCTCACCTTCTCCAGCAGAGTCAGTGGTGGGTTACAACTGTTGATCTTTTGGTTAGCAGTTTAATGTTTTAACCACCATTCCACCAAAGCTCTTAAACAAGGCACAAGAATCTGGAAATATCCTTACATGGCTTATCTCCCAGTTAAAAAACAAAAAAAGAAAAATGTCTTGCAAAACCACACCTGCAAGATGCATTGCTTCATACCATACCCTATGAAAACAGTAATTTGAGTCATTTCTTCCACTTCAAGCAGTTATACAGGTCCCCTTCTGATGGCTGCATGCACTGTCAGTGGGAAAGCAGCTGCTCAATAAATCTCAGAGGTGGAAAGTGTAGGTGGGTGCTACATGTCCCACAGGTCATGAAAGGGTTAATATGGATAATCTCATATATGTTAGCGCTCCCAAGATTAAATAAAAATATACCATAAAGACAGATAATTCAAGTGATTATGAATATAAATAAACATGTAGTGATTTTAAAACATTATTTATGCCACTCCCTTTAAGAAGTGTGGCTTAATTTCTTGCCTCTTGAGTGTAGGTATGACTTAGTGACTCATCTCTAATGTATAGAATATGGTGAATATGACAATGTGTGAGGCGTTTCCTCCTTTCTCTTGGATTGTCCAGTCTGGATGAGTCTGGCCAAAGTGTTGTGAGAATATTCAAACAGCCTCTGGAAAGGACTGTCTGGGGAGGAACTGAAGCCTCCCCAACTAACAAACAACACTATTTGCTAACAAACAACACTATGTGAGTGACCATCTTGGAAGCAGATCCTTCAGGCCCAGGCAAGTCTTCAGTTGCCTGTGACCCTAGTTACATCTTCACTGCCACTTCATAAGAGACCACAGCCAGAATTACCTAGCCAAAGGGATTCCTTAATTCTAGACTCACAGAAACTGAGTGCAAAAACAAATGTTTGTTGTTGTTTTAAGCTGTTAGTTTTGAGGTAATTAGGATACATTGATCATAGCATTTCCCTCCTCCTTCTCTCAACCCCTACTGCCCAAATGTGTCTCAAACTTGATTTTGCTTTCCAGCCAAGGACTTATGGTCTTTATTTCCACAAGATCACCAGGCTATACTCTTCACAGGAGCAAATATTCAGGTCCTATCTCTTTCAGAGTAGCTACTAGATTTGAGCCATCAACCTTTCAGTTAGCAGCTGAGCACTTATCCATTGTGCCATGAAGACTGCTTTTAAGAATCTTAGCATATATCAGTATCCTACTTGTACATTTCCCTTATACCACCGTAAACAGATCTTGTTATTTAAAACAGATGTTGAAAGATTTTTGTGGAAGTGGAACTTTCAGAGTGAATTATAGTAAATCATAAAATAAACAATACTTGTTGTTGTTGTTGTTATTTGCCGTCGGGTCAGCCCCAACTCATAGCAACCCCTCCTTGGGTTTCTGAGGAAGTATCACTGCGGAAGTAGGATTGCCCAACCTTCCTTCCAAGGAGTGGCTGGTGGGTTTGAACTGCCAGCCTTCTGGTTAGCAGTCAAGTGCTTAGGCACTATGCTACCAGAGCTCCCAACATTAATATTATCATCAATATATTAAATATCCTTTTCTAGTCCCTTAATAAGATATTTCTCACTGGTCTCTGTCCTTTTAGTTTCCCTGTCTCACCTATGACATATTTTCTTTCATCATAGTGACAAATATCCAACTTATAAATTGCTATTTTTTTTTCCAATTAGAGTGATTTAGCTCTCTGTTTTTATCACCTTCTTCCTGATGATATCGTGTGTATTCCCATATTCCACAAGCAAAGATGTTTTTGAGGAAATTTTTATAGCGAGACTTATGTCTTTCATATAACCAATAAACCAATTGTCCATGGCAATCCTATGTGTGTCAGAGTAGAACTGTGTTCCATATGGTTTTCAGTGGCTGATTTCTTAAATAATAGATAACAGGCCTTTCCTCCCAGGCACCTGTCAGGGAATTCAAACCTCTGCACTTTCCATTAGTAGCTGAGCAAAGTAACCATTCCTGGTATTCAAAAGCACCTATAACCAATCCATGTTTAGATACCATTTGCTTCTTTATTCTTTCTATATTTATATACAATATGAAGTTACACTACCCTTTCTGTTGTCCAGTAGACCATCATTCTGTAACCTTGGTAGAAAAGAGGAGTATGACCTTATCTCTGATCTGCTTGGTCTTTACCCCATAAACAATAGGATTGAGGGCAGGTGGAATAACAATGTAGAGATTGGCAAACATGATGTGGAATGTGCGGGAGACATTGTGTCCAAAGCGATGGGCAAGGATGGAGAAGAAGGCAGGTGTATAAAACATGAGGATGACACAGACATGAGAACCACAAGTGCCAAGAGCCTTCTGGCGGGCATCTTGAGAGGGGAGACGAAAGACAGCACAGAGGATGAGGGTGTAGGAGACGCCAATTAGAATTACATCTGAGATGACTGTCATGATAGGAACACAAAAGCCATACCAGATGTTGATGGAGATATCAGCACAGGCAAGCCGAGCAACACCTATATGCTCACAGTATGTGTGGGGAATGATGCGTGTCTGGCAGAAAGGTAGGCGTGTTAGCAAGAACACAACTGGCAAAATGATGCAGAAGCTTCTGAAAGAGATACCTACAACAATTTTCAAGATAGTCTTGGAGGTCAAGATGGTGGTGTATCTCAAGGGGGAGCAGATGGCCACATAGCGGTCAAAGGCCATGGCCAGCAGTATAGCTGAGTCTAGGACAAAGCTGTAATGCAGAAAGAATAATTGGGTGAGACATCCAGGAAAACTGATTTTCTGGGGACCAAGCCAAAAGATACTAAGGGCTTTGGGGACACATGTGGTAGACAGTATGAGGTCAGCAGTAGCCAGCATGGAAAGGAAAAAGAACATAGGTGCATGAAGACTGCGCTCCACTGCAATGAGATAGAGAAGGACACTATTGCCCACAATAGCTGCAATATAGATAAAGCAGAAGGGGATGCTGATTCACACGTGGGACTGCTCTAGTCCAGGGATGCCCAGAAGGGTAAATGGGCCTGCATTGCTGTGGCTCAGGTTGTACATGGCCATTATGGCCATTGATGTTTGATTGATTAGCTTCTTGTCCTAGAAACCAATTGAATATAATATTAGAAAATTCTATAGTCATTATTTCTTCACCCCCTCAACCCCACCAACCCTTCCCCAGGCTCTTCACTTCAGTCTACTATGAAAAAACCTCCCTTTGCTATTATGAGAAATGCTCATTTTTGTTGACATAGACTTCCTTAACTCAATGTTCTTTTTTTTTTTTTACCTTTTCTTAAAAATACATAGGTAATAACCCAAAATGCACAAATAGCAGAAGATAAACTGGACGATTGGTATCTTTTAAAAGGTAAATTCTTATGTGCATCAAAAGACTTCTCCAAAAGAGTAAAATGAAAAACTACAGGATGGGAAAAAAAAAAGTATTTGGCAATGACATATCTGACAAAGGGCTTATCTCTAAAACTTACAGAAAACTCCAACACCTCAACTTTAAAAACAAACAATCCAATTAAAATTTGGGCAGAAGATATGGACCAAAGAAGATATTCAGGCAGGCAACAAACACATGAAGAAATGTTCACAATCATTAGCCATTTTGCTTTACCAAAAACCAAACTCACTGTCGTCAAGTTGCATCCAACTCATAGTGACCCGTCCTTGGGTTTCCGAGTCAATATCTCTATGGAAGTAGATTGCCCAATCTTCCTTCTCCGAGGAGTGGCTGGTGGGTCTGAACCACCAGCCTTCTGCTTAACAGTCAAATGCCTAAGGCTCTATGCCACCATTAGCCATTACCAAACCAAACCAAACCAAATTCATTGCTGTGGATTTGGATTCGACTCATAGTGACCTCCCCTTGGGTTTCCAAAGCGGTATCAGTATGGAAGTAGATTGCCCAATCTTCCTTCCAAGGAGTGGTTGGTGGGTTTGAACCGCCAGCCTTCTGGTTAGCTGTCAAATGCCATAGACACTACACTACCAGAGCCCCCTCCTTTAGCTATCAGAGAGACGCAAATCAAAACAACAATGAAATACCATCTCACCCCAGCATTAATAGCAGAGTTCACAAAACAGAAAATAAATGCTGGCAAGGATGTGGAGAGATTGGGACTATCATACATGTTGGCAGGGCCGTAAAATGATACATACAACCACTATGAAAATCAGTATAGGAATTCCTTAAAAAGTTGGAAATCTAGCAATCCCATTATTGGATATATATCCTAAACAAGTGAGAAGCACGACACAAATAGATATATGCACACCCATGTTCATCACAGCTCTATTCACAAAAGCAAAGAGATGGAAACAATCTAAGTGTCATCAATGGTGGAACGAATAACTGAACTGTGGTACACTATGCAACACTAAACAATAATGTGGAATCTGCAAAGCACTGCATAAAGTTGATGAACTCAGAGGACATTATGCTGAGTGAAATAAGTCAGTCACAGGATAAGTATTGTATTAGTCCACTAATGTAAAAAGTCAAGGCAAGGTTTATACATGGAAGGGAAATTTCTTTGTTGGTTACCAGGGATGCGGGGGGAGGGGGGGTTGGAATTCCTAGATAGGTTGGGAAGAAAATAAATAAATAAATTACATATATATATATATATATATATATATATATATGTATATAATTAGGGATCACCAGGGGTAGGAGGGAAGGGGAAATGGGAAGATTTTGTTTGCAGGGCATTGAGTTTATGCTAATGGTGGTGGAATATTTTGGAAAAGGACAGCAATAATGATGTCAAAACATGAGAAATGTCATCAATGTCGCTGAGTTGTAAATGAGGAAGTTGTTATGTTGGAGAATGTCTTGTTGTATATATTTTCACCATAACACAAATTTTAAAAATATAGTTACATAGAGTTCTTCAATGGCAAACTATTCATTTAACTACTTTTAAAACTTTTTGTTATTATCTCCCAAAGATCTCCCTATAATTTCCTTGATTCTTTGAAGACATATCTCTAGCCATTATCTGCAGCAAGTTTAACATAATTGTGACTCACCTCTCCCAAGCTGTGTCCAAACTCATTCACTCTTCCACTCCATATCTTTCTTGCTCAACAGATAACCTTTCATCTTACTTCACAAAGAAATTAGAAGCCATTAGCCATGAACTCACTTAAAACTGAGCTATCACTTGTACGCTGTATATGCTCTATACTTATGTATATCCATACCTATTCTCTACCCATTTTTTCTCATTATAATTCTGAAAGAATGCTCTTTTCATATGTAGGATCAAAAACAAACCCAGTTCTATATCCCAAGTCCTCCTGTTTTGTCAGGCATTTCATTATCATTTAATTGTTTTCTTATTTATCTCCAAGCTGGCATTTTTAAAATTTTGTTCTAACCAAATTTAACAATTTAGATGCACTCAAATATCTCCCAGTCTAAATATGGAGATATAATTATATTTAGTCATACACTACTTATTTCCATTTCCTCACCTCCTACTTATCCTTTATTCCATGTTAATTTCATCTATCCCTGTCCCCACCACTCCACTGAAGCAGTCTGCACTAAGGTCACCAAACACATCCATGCCTCAAGAAAAGAATAATATTCTCATCATCTCAATAAACTCTGAAAATGCATTTGAAAGCATTTATTATGGCATATGTAAAACTAAATAAGCCTCTTCAAACCAGAAGCCAATAATGGGCAAATCAGAAATTGCTAGATTTTTCCACTAAAGGTAAAAATAAAGTCATGATGACATATTTTTCAACATGATTATATATTTTTTAAACATTGCTCAAGATGTTCTAGCCAGTGATATAAGGTATTGTAGGGCTGTTTTCTTTTGCCCACCTCTGGGTCATGCAAATGCTTGCCACATTCAGCTGCTAACCACAGTTGGAGGTTTGAGTCCAGAGTGATGCCTCAGAAGAAAGATCTGGTGATGTACTTCCAAAGAAATCAGCCATTAAAAACCCTGTAGAGCACACATTTACCATGAAACACATAGGATGACATGAGTAAGAACCAATTCAATGGCAATAGGCTTTTGGTCTCAGCTTCTTCTCTGCCACATAACTCACACCACACTCGTCTATGTCCCTTTTTCGGTTTGCTCTATTTTCCATCAAAGTGCACTTTAATGATTAAATAGCTGAAAGAAGAGATGAATGAGTGAGTGAATGAATTTTTAAAAATAAACACATATTTACCTAAATGGACAGACACATGGGGACTCACAGGCAAAGTCCACATAGAGTAATATTATAGCTAACTGTGTAAGAACCCAATTTTAAAGTCAAATATCCCAGATTTGGGAAGTGATAAGCTCTTTATAAAGAGCACCTATAATGTAATACCAATATTGCTATAAACAATGCAAATATAACAGATGGAAGACACTCATATAATGACAAGAAGTTGCAAAGACACAGAAGTCTCTGAGTCAGAGTTGACATTCTGAATTCAAGCTCAGGGACCATTTGGTGATTTGGGTTATTGATTTGTATCCTCATTAAACATTCCCTTTTGCCTCATTAATCAAAACTCATCCTGACCCCTAAACTGTTGAAAACTGTGACCCCCAGCCCAGTGGCCCCTAATTCATGGAGAAAGCTGGACATAGACCACCTATTATTTCTTTTAGCCTCTTTTTGGTCCTTGTTTCCAGTACTCCTTGCCCTTGGATTCCCAACCCTGCCTGCCTTGTCTGACAACCAACCTTTTCTCACCAAAACTTTGACCCCTGATGGGAGTCAAGGAATAGAGAAAAGTGACACCTTCTAACAGCCAGTTCTCTTATTCTTCTTCCTGGACCCTCTGGGAAGGCACTCAGAGCTTGTAGGTCCTGAGAGACCATATGACGAATGCAGTCAGTGATTTGTGGGCTGCACAGTGGGACAATTACTAGGGGCCTAGCTTCTGAGGTTCTGAGTTCCTACAAGCTCAGATCTGCTAATATAGTCTGTATCCTGAGAGAACAGCACTCTTAACCACTCTAAAGCAATCTACAGTGGCATGTCTGTGTGTATGTGGGTGTATGTATGTGTGCTTGAGGGACCTTGTGTGTCTCTGAGTGTTATTCTGTTCATGTCATAAATATTCAATGATTTTTTTATGTGTAATGGTTAACTTCAGTTTGAGAATGTGAAATTTGGATAGGGAGATGGGTAGAGTTTCCTCTATATAATCAAGCCAAAAAGACTTGGGAAATGTAACGATCAGCACAAATCAGAAACATTGATCAAACACTTGAATTTTCATGCAAAATTCCTTACGTATGAACTTGCCAGTCTTGTCTCTTTAGACCTCAAAATATCTTCAGAATCACTTTGTTTCTTTAGTCACCCCTGGGTAATCTTGTTACTTCTGCTATTGGGCCTCATTGGTCTAAGATGTCAATTCCATCCCACAAACCCATCCTCTCCTCTGAAGCCATAATAATCTTTCAGAAATACAAAGATGATCATGTGGTTTCTTCAGAAATTTTATACCACCTTTCAGGATAAAATAAATCCCCATTAGCATAACATAAAAGAGCTAGCAATCTCAGGCCTTTGACTTCCTCTTCAGTTCCATCCCTTACTATTCCATCACCAAAGACACCCTAAATTCCAGATTTACTAATCTATCTGGAGTTCCAGACACATAATTCTGTAGCATCATCTCTTTGCACATATTGTTTTCTCCTTTCTGTAACTCTTTGCAGAATGTTTTTTACCCAACTGAGCTTACAAACTACCATTACCTCACTTAGAATGTCATCCTTAATTCACCATTGTGTTATCCTGGGCTTAGCACTAATCACACCAATTGTAGGCATCTAATTTTCACTCTGTTTTGACATCCAGATTGCAAATTCCATGATAATACAGACTCACACTTATTTTTCACCATTGGATTTCCATGGTTGGTATTGCATGGTAAGCATTCAGTCAGTTTCTTCAGTTATGATTATTAACAGCAATATTGTTACCCTCTACTTGACTGTTAACCAGAAGGCTGGTGGTTCAAACCATCAGCCACTCCTTGGAAGGAAGGGTGGGCAATCTACTTCTGT